ATGTGGACCAAAGTGAAAATGTCATAGTGGTTGGGTTTTAAGGAAAAATGAAAAAAATATATATTTCAGTTACCTAGATTACCACACTATAGTATTCTAACTGAATAAAATTTAGAGAAAATGAATAAACCAATATTCATTATCATCCAATACATGCAAAAGATTGTTTGATTAAAAACTATCCATAATTGTTCTTTCTATCACAATGGTTTGAGTTTGAAGTCTACCTCTAATAGAGCTAATTGTTAACTGAGGATCCAAGCTGATGTCTTGGGGGAAATATGACTATTGATACACATAGTCATATTTCATTTATCTCATAGTTGTATATTTTGTCTAAATATATTGAACTATTTATTTATTCTAAAATTGATAAATATTTGAGAATTTCTCCTTCATTTGGCATTATGAATATTACTAATCAAGCATGCATATGCACATCTTCTTGCATTATAAGTAAAGTTACCTCAGAAAAGATGTCTAATAATATGAGAATTATTTAATGCCAATGTGATATTGCTTAAAATTCTTAACAATATTTGATGTTGTCAGAGACTTTAACTTCTAAAATGTAGCGGATAATAGTTCACAGTGGGATTTTAATTTGTGTTTCTATTTTATGTAATGATATAGTATACCCTTTTGCATTTTGAGGCAATATGTACATTTTTTCATGTAGCATATCTATTTATTGATTTTGCATATTTTATTAATTTGAAGAATGTATGTATGAATTTTGATACTAGTATTTTGTCGGTTATGTGGTGTCAATATATGTCTCTCACTTGAAATTCATCTTTTCATTCCCTATCCTCTATAAAGATCATAAAATTTTCTCATATTTTTAGTTTCTGTCTTGAAGATTTAATATTTTGCTCATCACTCAAGTCTCACAAAGACACGACACACATCACAAAATGTCTCACTAAATATACGCTCCAAAGGAATCTTAGAATTTTAAGACTTGCATGTAAATCTGACTTGTAGGAGATGATAAAATGAAGATCCTGAGTGAAAGTGAATCTATATATTTCACTTTCATTTCTTCATGTGTACAGGTGAGTGATGGGTTCTACAGAATCTGTCAGTAGAATGGTTAGCACATAGGTTATAATGTAATGAATTCATGAGCCCACCATGACAAATCTGTAAGAGGGACAGGAAAGAACATTCAAATGGGTATGGAGGCATAGAAGAATAGTTACAACAGTTTACTATTAACAAAGTTAAAGGAATTTTATTCTCAATTTGGAGGTCATGATTTACAACATCAAATACTCCCTGGTAACAGAGATGTTATTTGGATATAGCAAAAGAAAAAAAAATCAGGAACAATCGTGGTAAGGACTTGTTCAGTTGATGAGTAAGGGATGCAATTTATAATGCAATAGTCCAAATGGTAAATTTAAAATGAGAAAACAAAGCCAGGAATTTTGAAACTCTTTTTCAAAAAGCTAAGCAACTCTACAGAATACAAAGGGAGAGAAAACTGGAGAAACTTGAAATGTAAGGACAAGTAAGAGAGATAAGAATGTCTTCACAAAGTACAAATAGAAAAAGGTAGAATGTTGAAAATAAAATAGTGTCTAAAAATTAGAATGAAATTTGTGAAATGACATTTACAGTATTAGAGAACATGTGGAGGACTCTACTTCAGTCAGAATGAGATATTTACTATCATAATGAGAGATAGAAATTAGTTGTAATACAAACCACTTTGTAGGCACTTTGTCAGAAATTGGAGCCTTTATCTGAGTATTTCCCTGTTTTTTTTTTCAAGTAAGAGACAAGATATTTATCTGAGAATGTGTGCGAAGGCAGTATGGTAGTATGATTGAAGAGATACGAAATGGTTTTATTATATATTATGAAAAATGGAAAAAATCTTATAAGAACAGAGAAGAGTTTATAAAGAGGGTAAATGGGCTTATTGAGATCTGAAAACATTACTTTGTAGAAGCAATTATCTGAGGATAGTATGGTTTTCTCCAGTCAGATTTAACTGCACAAGTAGAAAAACAAATCAATCAAATTATTCCAGCTTTGGGTTAGCTATCTGGGCTAAAAAACAAACAAACAAAAACTGGAAAATAGAAATAAAAATATTCACAACAACTCTGTTGAAGATATTTGACAAAGTTTTTAATCATTTCTGGAAGAATATAAAATGGATATATATGTGAGAACTTATATATGATGTATAGTGTAAACTGTTATATAAATAAGAACTTATATATGATCAGTGAAATAATATTTAGAGTTTTCACATGCATTTAGTCAGTAAGCAGTTTGGTCTACTTTTAGAAAGAACTAGATTAGGAAGTACAAAAGATACAGGTGCATCTTTTTTTTCCCCCCAATTTCTTTGATATCCTCATCCCACTCTTCTGATGAAAGAGCATTTTGTTCACACTTAGGAAAACATTGTTTCCAAACTCTTTGCTCTTCTTTTCTGCGATCACTATTCAATGGTACATTATTTGCCTACATCTTTGTTTTGTAGGATTCCTCTAACATATTTTTATTCTGATATTTTCAAGATCATGTAACCATAGATACATAATAAGGGATAATATAATTTTAGAAAATTATTTATCTTTGAATCTCAAACTCTTATGAGTTTAAATCATATTAATGTCATTTTGACATTACTTCTTCTTTTATTTTTGAGTACCAAGTATTTAACTCAGGGGCACTTGATCACTGAGCAACATCCCCAGTCCTATGTTTTTTGTTTTATTTAGAGACTCACTGAGTTGCTTAACACCTTACCATTGCTGAAGTTGGCTTTGAACTTGCAATCATCTTGCCTCAACCTCCTGAGCCACCGGGATTACAGGCATGTGCCATGGCGCCTGGCTACTTTTGACATTTCTTAGTGAGATTGAACTTATACTTTACAATCTGGTCATTTAGTTTTGTTCAGCACATTTTCTTACCTTTTAATAAAAACTCTTTCTTTTGTCAGATATTAGTCTATTAAGGCAGCAATTCAAAACTCACTGGAAGACACAGGTAAGTGCTAGAGACTTCACAAAAAAAAAAATGTGAGATGGGCTTGCATGGCACTGTGAAGTTTGGGGAAGCAGGATACAACAGCAGGGGATTTCAACAACACTGTCCTTCAAAGTCCTTAACTAAATTTTCATAAGTTTTACTTGAGATGGTGTTCTTACTTTCATACATCAAGTAACTTCAGATTGTGACCCACCAATCAGATGGTGGAAATTATTTTTTTGTACATAAACTAAAACAATTCTGATTTTACTTCTATATTTTTCCCCAGATTTTATTCCATCGGTACAAACAGAGAAGCTTAATGAACACTGTGTAATTACTCTGGGGTAGAAAATATCCTCTTGTTCACATTTTGTATCTTTATCCTTTCTACTTATTATGAAATATTCAGGATTTTTATCCCAAGACACATTGCTCTTAACATATCGAGCACAGAAGGTTATCTTTAAAATCCCTTCTAAATCTCCCAAATTAATGTTCTGTGTAGTGAGCACCTGCCAGCTTTGATACAGTTATGGGATTAGACATTTTTGAATGATTTTTGACTCTGAAGGTTGTTTGCATGCTGTTACCAAATCTGGCTGTATTTCAACTCCAGCATCTACCATTTCACAAAGGATTTGCTGGGAACCCAATAAATGCTTTCATGTAATTTTATAAGTATGATACCTAGAAACTGCATTTCTTCAGACTTACTACTTTCCCACTCATAAAACTGCTGCCCCTGTCATGGACTTTAAGCAATTCAATACTAATCCACAGCATTTCCTTGGAGGTGGACTTGGTGGCAAGGGAAGCTCTCTATTATGCTTTTTTTGTCTTTGATAAAACTTGATAAAATAAATAAAAGCTTATTTAATTTCTACATATTGAATTAGATGCTATAATGAGACAAAGTTAATTCAACAGCCATATGTTATAACAAGTTATGACCACATTATTAAATGGGAATAAAATTTATCAGTGAGAAAGCACTTAAAGCACTTATACCAGGTATACATGTATTGAAATGTCACATGTTGTCTCATTAATATGCATAACTTTATGTTGTAAGGTATCCATTAAAATAAAGTTTAAAAAAGAAACAGACATTGAGCATAACAACAGTAATATCTGGTATGTAACTTACTGATCTTTCTGAAAAGACACTCAGGATTATATGAATGTGAGTCATCCATCTAAGTCTATTTCCTAATCTAAATAAGAAAAAAGATTTATTCACTTTTTGAGACGAATTTTATCTCAAATAATCTATTTATCTTCATTTTACAGACTTTCTAGTGATGAAGTTCTTGTTCTTTTTGTTATACAGAAGAATCTTTTACCTGAAGGTAAGTACTCTCAGTATTAATCTGAATAATAAATTCTTAATAAACATTGAAAAAATTCAAATGAATGAATATTTTGTATTATAAGCTTAAGAAAGAAACTGGTTAACTACTTGTAAAAAGTGCTGAAACTTGAACAGGCAGAAATCAAAAATTCACATTAACATATTATT